ATTAATCACTAAAAGTCTAACACCTGATCATTATTTATAATGGGATGAAGCCTTGCACTGCTGCGAGTTAGCAAAGGCTTCTTCGAATGGCTCATCTGAAACATTTCTATATATAGCACTTGTCAATCTAGCTCTGTGTAATGAACTAATAAGCTTCAATCATTTAAGTAAAGTAAATCTTCTAGATAAGCCTACATAATCAGATGTTTTGAATGACACCCACGTATTAAAAGGAATGTATAGTTGTGACACTTATTCTTTGACTTGCATTAACATTAATTAGTATCCCCCTTTGGAATTCTCATAATATTATATAAAGTTATTAGGAATCCCCGTACCACTGCCAAAAAATTAAACTATGCATTCGGAACTTATTCTTCTGGCATGACAATAGATAAAATCATTTTTTTTATATAAAAGTAATGATTACCTTGCGGGACTTTTATGAAAAGATAATTAAGAGAGATGAAATAAACAAAATGTAACCAACAAACGTGTTCTGAGTGTAAAATACGATGTGGGGCCAGACCGGGATTCGAACCCTAGACTTCAGATATACTAACGCTGTAACCGATTGGGCTATCTTTTTAACGGAAATGTATTAGGTCAAATTGTGCTATAGATACATCCAAAAGGACGTTAAGGGGAGGTTACTGTGTATAGGAAATATGGCAGTGCAGTGGGACAGGGATCCTAAAGGAATGTACAGGTGTGACACCTATTCTATAGCTTAAAACTGCTTCAACAATAAGTGTCCCCCGAATCCCCCTTTGGAATTCTCATTTATAAGAGTCTTAAGTGACAGGTACAAACTATTTTCTAGCTATATTTAGCTTTCTTAAATTACCGCTTTTTTCAATAAATTGATGCCGTGAGAAATGAGAATGGGATGAAATTTTCTTCTTCTTCTTTAGTTATAGTCCTCCTTCAATCATTTGAAGATGTCGGTAGATGGAAAATGGCACTTTTTTTGAAAACTTAAAATACAATCATTTAAATAGTATGATGATTATGAAACTGTTAGGATACAGTACTGTTAAATTTAATGAGATCGGTTCACCAACTGTTGACTTTTGTCGAGGTGAATATGAGGTTATATGAACCTGAGAAAGAGATTATAAATGACTGACATAAAATCAAATATAACTTTTTAGGTCAATCAAACCAAATACTAACTGAAATAAAATTTTGTGAAGACCAAAAATTTTGAAAAATTCCTACATCTTTCAGATATGATGCTTTATTTGACTGCAGATAACAGTTCCAGAAATTCAAGAATTATGATATATGAGGCATTATATTAGTCCAATATCTCAATGCTATACAGTGTTGCCATGAATTCTCCTTGTGGAAGAAAACTGTCAGTCTTTACTTTCAAAAAATTATGAATAACATGCATGGAAATGTGTACAGTCATTATAATCATACTTCATTCAAATTGTACTTTCATTCAATGATCTTAATAAACTTGCTTGCATGACTAAATGTAAGCTTGACAATAGCTGCTTATAAAGAACTATGCTGTATACATAACTAATGTGTAAACTATTCTAGCTGGCACTTAAAATCTGCAAAATTATTTCACTGGTTTTGTTATTGAAACTTCAAACTTCTTTGGAACTAAAAATGTAATTACCGTACAGTAAAACCTCTACATAACGCGCCTCATTTCTAAATGTCCACCTCACTTACCGCCAAATTATTTCAGGATACATTTTTCTCTTTTTTTTTTAAGAATTCCTTAATATGTTTTCCTCAATTTATCGCCAAACCCCTTTATAACTTCAAATTTGTTTTCTGGACAAATGATGGCAGTATAAGGAGGTTTTGCTGTAAAATGCTTTCCATATTTCAAATGAAGAATGTTGCTGAAAATTAACGGGAACCATCTTCAATGATTCTACTACTTGTATTGTCACAAGTACAGACATGTTTCAATCATTTTCCTATTTGCCTGTCAATACTAAACACCAAATTTGAACATAAAAGTTTATGTCAACTTTAAGCATATTAACTCATTCACCCCTGAAGAATCATTTGAACTCTTCCGATTGAAAGGTTGGAATAGTCCATTATGAAATTTAAGGGGTAAATTTCATTAGACACCCAAGGAAGCTAAGTTTTTATGACTTGGTATATATATAATATATATATCTATATATGTTGGCTTTGCCATACTCTGTAAACTTTATTTACCACACTTATACTTGCAATGAACCCAGAGGGCCAACACATAATATAATCTCTGACTCTAAATTTGGTATGAGGGCTTATTATTGGGCAATGAGTATATGACATAGTATTTGTTGGAGGTTCTATTGAACTGCAGTAGATATATGGGTGGGCTTATTGCCAAGCATTGGCTTATTGCCAAGCATGGGCTTATTGCCAGGCATGGGCTTATTGCTGGGCAAACAGGGTAATACATGTACCTATACATCATCAGAATTCAGTCGTAGTACTTTCTCCTTCATGGAGCATTATATGTATATCATTTAGCCTCATTCATTTTTTGGCAGTCACGGTTGAGGCAGGCAAAAAAATACTTTATGTAGAGGTCAACAAGTATTATCTTATATTTGCGGTGATGTAATTATTAAATAATAGTAGCTTTCTAATTTGGACAATATTCAAAATAATGATTAATAGGTACCGGTAGTATCTCTTGCAATGTTACCTCTCCATATATGTCATCACCTAACTAAATATTGATGATCTTGTATATAGCAAAGGAGTATGATCCTGAGTATAAAGTCCAGCCATCCGAAATCTAGGTCAGCATCTGCAGTCGGACCTTCAATCTTACCTAAGAAAAACACATCAATTGTGCTAATCACTTATTGAATAATTTGACCACTTCTTGTCTTCTGTCTTAATCAAACTGACCACTCCAAGGTGACTGTGCACACCATTAATGATTGATGGCTTTTAATTTAAGGATTGTTCACTTCCCAATCAACCTGTTGACTGCCCAACTTGTTCACCTTATGCTAATGTGTCCATCGGTAGTTTAATCTTTGTTTTGTAGTGTCCATCTATAGTTTAATCTTTGTTTGTAGTGTCCATCTGTAGTTTAATCTTTGCTTTGTAGTGTCCATCTGTAGTTTAATCTTTGCTTTGTGAGTGTCCATCGGTAGTTTAATCTTTGCTTTGTGAGTGTCCATCTGTAGTTTAATCTTTGTTTGTAGTGTCCATCTGTAGTTTAATCTTTGCTTTGTAGTGTCCATCGGTAGTTTAATCTTTGTTTGTAGTGTCCATCTGCAGTTTAATCTTTGTTTGTAGTGTCCATCTGTAGTTTAATCTTTGCTTTGTAGTGTCCATCTGTGGTTTAATCTTTGCTTTGTAGTGTCCATCTGTGGTTTAATCTTTGCTTTGTAGTGTCCATCTGTGGTTTAATCTTTGCTTTGTAGTGTCCATCTGTGGTTTAATCTTTGCTTTGTAGTGTCCATCAGTACTTTAATCTTTGCTTTGTGAGTGTCCATCAGTAGTTTAATCTTTGCTTTGTGAGTGTCCATCAGAAGTTTAATCTTTGCTTTGTGAGTGTCCATCGGTAGTTTAATCTTTGTTTCGTAGTGTCCGTCTGTAGTTTAATCTTTGTTTGTAGTGTCCATCTCTAGTTTAATCTTTGCTTTGTAGTGTCCATCAGTACTTTAATCTTTGCTTTGTGAGTGTCCATCGGTAGTTTATTCTTTGCTTTGTGAGTGTCCATCGGTAGTTTAATCTTTGTTTGTAGTGTCCATCTGCAGTTTAATCTTTGTTCGTAGTGTCCATCTGTAGTTTAATCTTTGCGTTGTAGTGTCCATCTGTAGTTTAATCTTTGCTTTGTAGTATCCATCGGTAGTTTAATCTTTGTTTGTAGTGTCCATCTGCAGTTTAATCTTTGTTCGTAGTGTCCATCTGTAGTTTAATCTTTGCTTTGTAGTGTCCATCTGTGGTTTAATCTTTGCTTTGTAGTGTCCATCTGTGGTTTAATCTTTGCTTTGTAGTGTCCATCGGTAGTTTAATATTTGCTTTGTAGTGTCCATCGGTAGTTAATCTTTGCTTTGTGAGTGTCCATCTGTAGGTTAATCTTTGTTTTGTAGTGTCCATCTGTAGTTTAATATTTGCTTTGTAGTGTCCATCGGTAGTTTAATCTTTGCTTTGTAGTGTCCATCTGTACTTTAATCTTTGCTTTGTGAGTGTCCATCAGCAGTTTAATCTTTGCTTTGTGAGTGTCCATCTGTAGTTTAATCTTTGTTTTGTAGTGTCCATCTGTAGTTTAATATTTGCTTTGTAGTGTCCATCGGTAGTTTAATCTTTGCTTTGTAGTGTCCATCGGTAGTTTAATCTTTGCTTTGTAGTGTCCATCGGTAGTTAATCTTTGCTTTGTGAGTGTCCATCTGTAGTTTAATCTTTGTTTTGTAGTGTCCATCTGTAGTTTAATATTTGCTTTGTAGTGTCCATCGGTAGTTTAATCTTTGCTTTGTAGTGTCCATCGGTAGTTTAATCTTTGCTTTGTAGTGTCCATCGGTAGTTAATCTTTGCTTTGTGAGTGTCCATCTGTAGTTTAATCTTTGTTTTGTAGTGTCCATCTGTAGTTTAATATTTGCTTTGTAGTGTCCATCTGTAGTTTAATCTTTTGTTTTGTAGCATATCATCTTAGGATAATAAGGATGATCTAGGGCACTTTTTGTTGAAGTTACATTGTAATAGTTAATTGTCTTTACAGCGAACTTAACCTTTTCAGGATGGAACTAACGAAAGTGGACCATCATATGCACATATTATTAACAAACCTTTGATTCCTTGGCAAAAACACTTTCAAAATATTATATCAAAGTTTTACTTTATACACAAGCGATTTACGTATCAAACGTGTTGCGACGTTTCCAGACTGACTGGTGCCTTTACCAAGCTTTGCAAGTTTTGATAGCTTGACAAAGGGACCAGTCGGTCTTGAAATGTTGCGACACATTTGATACATACATTGTTTGTGTATGAAGTAAAACTTTGATATTACATATTTCCAAACTAATGAATCTTATTGAAGACTGTTGAAATAAATGTTAGATTCCCAGATTTTTCCATACACATATAAAGCTACACACAGTTCTTTGACTTAAAACTCTGGTCCAGCCATTTTTTTTCCAAAAAAAGGGAAAGATATAATATCTCTGATGAAGGATGTGATGCAACAAAATGTTCTGTTGTTGCCCCTTGATATTAAGTCTAGCTCTACAGACTAGCTGTACTGTATGAATGGTCACTGTCAGCTGATGTGTATTTAGGACACCGGTCACTACCATGTGACCTCCCAGGGTGAAGGTCGACTGCCCATTGACCTCTCAGAGTCATGGTTGTCTGCATTGTGTCCTATCAGGGTCATGGGCAACTGCCTTGTGATCTATCGAGGTCAAACTTGTGACTGCCTTGCATTCTATAGGGGCATGGGTGAATTCCTCGTGACCTTTTGGGGTCACGGGGTTGATCTGTGTTAGTGCACAGCTTGAGGCTGACTGCCCCGCATCCTCCCAAACCACCTTCGTATAGATGACCTGAAGCCGCGACCTTCGTCAGGCTGTGCTGAAAAAACAAGATAGGATACAGACAACTTTTTTCTCAATATTCATTATTGTGGTTTGTCAGTAAAATTTGTCAAAATGAAATGCCTTGCAAGTTAACTCATTCACCCCTGAAGACACATTTGAACTCTCCCAATTCAAAGGTTGGAATAGTTCATTATGAAACTTCAGGGGTAAATGAGTAAAGAGGGGTACGGAAATTGGGAGCAAACTTGGCAGCTGCATCAAACTTCATATCTGTAGAAGATTAACAACGACTATGGAGACCTGGTCGCAGAATGTGTATGCTTTGCCTATTTTTCAAGTTAATTCGTTGAAGAAATCAAAATGTACCTGGTGTAGCCATATTGAAGCAATTGGAAATTTTGCACTTTCATTTTCAACTCTTTTCTGAAGCTTTTAACTTTTGTGTCTCCTTAAAGTAAAGGGTACCAACAAGTTAAATTGTTTTTATATAAACCATTGTCACTATTGTTAAATATTTGTTAAAAACATTTTCGAAAGTAAAATGTCATGAAAATCACATGTTGCATTGCATTTGACAGAATTGTAAATGTTTGAAATTTGTGAATGTTTGAAAATAGAAATAAAAAAAAAGAAGACAAAAAAAAAGCAAGAGTTAAACTGGGAGCTTTTACATTACAAAGCTTACACTTACCAATCTTACCATACAAATCATCCAAGCACAGCTCCAATTATGGGCCATAAAGCATATGAAACCTTTTACAGGGGAAGTTACTCTAAGCCAGAAAAACTCCTTTATATTGGTTCATCTTTTATAAAGAAGGGAGAATACTCCAAGTAAAAGACACCCCTGAGTGGAACTCTTCTTTGCGATCAATAACTCGGGTGCAGTGATATGCTTTACCTTAAGAAAACCATTTCTAATGTTTGCCGTGAGTGTTACTATGACCAGGGCTATGATGACTTGTACATTGTACAGAAGGGCTGTATACTATCAGGTCAGCGAGGACTAAAATAACAGTTATATGACCTTTAAACCTGTGTTGTGACCTTGAAAACTAAGAATATACACACATAAGAGGTGTATGACGGTTGTAAAGTTGTGAAAAAAAATGAAGTTTCATAAAAAAATATTACGAAGCCATTTAGAGGTTATCATCTCCACAATCTGCACAATCATTACGATAATTTGACCTCTGACTACTCAGTGACCGTGACCTTGTTACTAGGAACCCAAAAGTTTTATGTGAAATGTCATTCAGCAATGATGCATCCATATAGATGTTAAAAAACCCCACCTGCATGTGCTGTTCTAAATTAAATTATGGCTAAGAATATAAGATGGGTTGTTGGGCAGACATCTTGCTATATCCTATAATCCACATTTTCATAGGCAGGGTATTATTGATTTGTTTATGATAATCTAATTAACATAAGTAAGGTTTATGTATCTTATGATGTAAAAGAAAGCTGATTTAGCAGTTTAACATTTACCGTGGGAAGGCTTCACAAATGCATTTGGTAATACCTTAGAGAAGACATACCATATTTACCATAAATAGCACCCAGGGCTTCAAAAAGTGTCTGAAGAGGGGTCAGTTGCTCTAAATGCGATATAATTGTGGAAACATTCTTAGGGAGAATTTCAAAACTAATATCCTCCCTCCATTCTGTGCATCCGAAAATAAATATAAAATCTTGCGTAGTTTTCTTAAAGATGAAAAACACAGCATACAGGATATGTGGCATATATATTTTGCGATTTCCAAACTGTTCTCTCTGTTAAATACTTTGAAACAGTCTTCAAAGATTGTGAGATAATGTAGTGTATGAAATGAAGTTTTCATACATTGTAATACTTTTTGGTTTGATTGTGTATTACGTCCCATGGTCATTTAAGGACGTGCCAGGTTTTGTGGGTGGAGGTACGCCAGAGTGCCCGGAGAAAATATCACAGACCAGCGGACTGCCCCTCGTAGGCCTCCAACCCGCGACCCAGTGGGTTATGGCCAGTAGTCGTAGACAGTCAGGAGCCTAAAGTTAACCCCTCAGCCACCACCACCCCGGCCAGAATGGATGATATTTGTTTGATAAAGGGTGTGTATTTTATACCTTTTCAATAAGAGCCCAAAAACGGGGACAGTAATAAAGGGGAGGGACACTAATTAAAGCGAATACGGTAATTATGACATGCGAACAAGTGATGTAACTATCCACATATAATATCTGGCTGCACAGATAGAGTATCCGAGACATTAGTTTTCTGTCGGCCTATAGCCACACAATTACCAGATTAACAGATTGGGGGGGGGGGGGGGTTGGTGGAGCAGTATAGACACAACAGCTGTGCTGATAACCTTGTACACACTCTGGCACTACACAGATCAATGATCCTGGACACCAGAGAATTGGGAGCAGGCTCTAACCCTACACTAGACTTTTATACAGCGGTGCCAAGGTGATGCTCATCCGTTACCAGTCTAGCATACAGAGGAACCAAGGAAACACCTAATCTGAACCTGGTCTAGTGTATAGAGGTACCAATTAAGGCATTGCCCCATTTAAGACTAGTCAAACTTACAGCAGCACCAAGAAGTCAGTCTGTCTGACACAGTTGACCAAAAAGTCACTTAATCTAACATATCATAGTCTAGTCAGGGGCGTAGCTAACCCTTGTTCCGAGTGGATTCATTGAGGAGTGGGTCCAGGGCAGGGTCTTGGTTAAGGAACACAAGGGTACAACAAACAGTGCTTTTGTTTTGTTGTGTTTTTCTGCTTAAAATTTGGTGGATTCACCTGCAGACCAGCATATAGGCACACCTGCTAGTCTACGATCGAACAAATGAGTAATTTACTGACACTAGCTAAGTGACAGTAATATCATAGAAACACCTCATCTGACCCTTATTTAAGTTTAAGGTTATACATTGTTGTTTTTTTAACACTAAAGGATAAGACAAATCTAGATTTGATCAAGTTACACTAAAAAAAGAAATATTTACGACTCTGCAGTATCAGCACTAGATAACCCTGTAAAATTCATATGGCATTCATCTCAGCTACGACCCACAATGCTATGTGTTGATGTCGTCATTATTATGACATCATAATTAATAACTAGAACACTGACAGGTCAGTAAGGGCCCTGTTTTGTGGCAATATATCCCCCATAGTCATCAAGAAGCAATCTGCCCATATAGCTGAGCTTGACATTTGACATTTGGACTTCAAAAAGAATCGCACAGAAGCAAAATATACATTTTACATGTACTATGATGTGAGTCTTGTTTCCTTCCACCTCCATATTTGCTGGGCTAACAAAAATGTAAATACCGATGCAATACTCATTTGTTAGCTTTGAATTGTTTATTTCACCTTAAATACCTCCCCCATCAAGAGCCAGGGCCAAAGTCAGAGTTCCACTTTGTCTTTGACCATTGGACCCAAATGACCTTGACCTTTAACCCAGTGACCCTGAACTTTGATCAGTTGACTTATTCTTTAATTCCGACCAACTTTGCTTCATAATATCATAACAAAATGTTCATCAGTGAAAAATACAAAGAAGGTCCAAAGCTTCTTAAACCTTTGGACCCCGTAACCTGGACCTTTGGTCAGTTGACTTCGTGTTATATTCTGAACAGCTTTGCTTTATAATAACATAAAGAAAAATGTTCATCAGTAAAAAGATACAATATTTGACCTTGTCATTGACCCAGTGACCTTGACCTTAAGTCAGTTGACTCTTTGTTAAATTCCTACCAATTTATAATGCTTCAAAATGTCATAAAATGATCATCAGTGAAAAGATACAAAATTTAACCTTGGCCTTTGACCCAATGACCTTGACCTTTGGCAAATTGACTCCTTGTTTAATTCCGACCATCTTTGATTCATAATGTCATAAAATGCTCATTAGTGAAAAGCTTCAAAATTTGACCTTGACCTTTGACCCATTGACCTCTGACCCGATGACCTTGACCTTTGGTCAGTTTACTGCTTGTTTAATTCTGATCAACTTTGCGTCATCATGTCATAACAATATGTTAATCTGTTAAAAGATGCAAAATTTGACCTTGACATTTAAACCTAATGACCTTGACCTTTGACCTTGACTTTTTACCTCAGTGTGTATTTTTGTGAACTGAACATCTCGACCAAGTGACCAAGTTTCATGTAAATCGGTCAATAAATACTAAAGTTATCAGCCAGGAACAAAATTTGTGGGCGGTCGGACAGACAGACAGACAGACGGACGGACGGACGGACGGACAGAGTGATTACTATAGGGCACCCGTATTTCTGATACGGGGCCCTTATAATTGGAGACAACTGATAGTATGAAGTGCTAGTAAGAATTTGTCATTTTCAGGTGGCATTCATATTGACTATGAATGCCAAATGGAACACACAGATCAATGCTTAAATGAATACGATTCTATTCGTCCCAGTAAGGAATACGATATTATACTATTATCTACGATCAGGGACCTCCACATTAAGGAATGGAATATTCTATTAATCTATGATACATTAAAGAAAATCATTCAAAATCCAAGAACCTTACAACAAGGAATAGGATGGTCTGTTAAGGTCAATGATGCAAAAACATCACATGAAGCGATAGATTACAATACCCATCTCCAGGGACATCATGCAAGAAAAGTGACAGGAGAAAAAAAAATGATTGCAGGCTCAGGGACCTGACAAAATAAATAATAGTATTACCCCAACAGAAGCCTCAGATCCAGAGGGGAACCGGTTGCTTACCTGCCTCAGGTGACTCACTGTTAAGCGCAAACAGACCTGTTGATGAAATCATGAACAATCAGGATGTAACATAGACAACACAATACCTGTCATAAGCCTAGAATAAGCTATATGTCATTTGTACAGAAGATTTAGAAATTCCAATCCCAGGGACTACAAATTGAAGTAAAACTTTCTCATTCAATTGTTTTAAACTTAATTGGATTTTTAAACCAGAAAAATAAGAACAACAGTGTAGGACCATGCCAGCATTGCTGTATAACGGGAAACTTTAACCTTGTCGAATATTTGCCCTTCACTGGTAAATCCATATATGCCTTGTGTTAATATGGCATTCAACATGGGATTAATATATATTTCAAGATTTGTACTAATATTCGCTGTCGTGATAAATTTGCCCTTATTGCAGAGGCCGAAAAAGGCGATACTTAAACTTCAGCAAAACTTTTCCTGGTATACAGTTTTCATATTAGGTTTGAATATCATAGACATGATGGAAGTTTTGAAGTTGAAAATGTTACTTCTGGTCAGTTGAGAAAATACTTATAAGCCAATGATCAATAATTACAGAAAGTGGAAATATGGTAGTTTTTTTAATGAGTCACCAATAGTGCAATTTATGAGTCAGTTATTGTGCAAAAAATGACACATAGTGCTAAATAGAATTATCACTCTCACATAGAGTCTTGCATAGTGCTCATTATGAAATGCCCATAGTTTAAATTAGTTTTTATAGTTTTCAGTGGTGTTTCACAGATTCTGAGTCTCCCAAAGTGCTAATTCTGAGTCTCCCATTGTGCTAATCAAGAGTCCCCACAGTGCTAATTATGAGTCTCATAGTGCTAATCAAGAGTCCCCAAAGTGCTAATTATGAGTCTCCCATAGTGCTAGTCAAGAGTCCCCACAGTGCTAATTATGAGTCTCCCATAGGGCTAATCAAGAGTCCCCAAAGTGCTAATTATGAGTCCCTCTGGGTGCTAATTATGAGTCTCCCATAGTGCTTTATAATCAAAAGTCCCCATAGTGCTAATTATGAGTCCCACTGGGTGCTAACTATGCCAGTCTCCAACAGTGCAAATTAGTGATTCTCCATAGTGCTTATTATCAGTCTCCCATAGTGCTAATGAAGAGTCTACTTAGTGCAAATTGTGAAACCCTGGTTCAGCAAATTATGAGTGTACTCCAATAATGCTACATGGTGAGTTTTCTATGTTGTTAATTCAATCAATCTTCCATAGAGCGTAATATGAATATCCTATAGTGCTAATTATGAATCCCCCATGGTGCTGAGGACGAGTCTCTCAGAGGGTGTCAGCAAGTACAGTGTTGTACTTGTACAGTCATTTCTACCAGATATAAGATATATTGCTGACAAAACAAGGTCATACCGTACTATATATCACAATTTTACATTCCAATGGACTTATAATTATCCTACATTTTTCCCCATTAAGCTTATTACACCTTTTATCGGGTGAATGAACAAGCATGCTGATGGCATTGTCAACCATATGATGAAATGCCCCACGGGAAGTACTGGAGACGTGATTAGCTATTTATTTGTAGCTTTCCATATTGGAAAAACTCCACGACGATTGCCTTACCTAATATAGCTATAATTGCTTTATCCTCATCATCTTTTATTAGGTTTCTGATGAAACCAGCAACCTGAAATAAACAAAAATTGGAACAAGCTTGTTAGTCAATGTCTTTGACAGAAAATGGTCAATCAGAGAACAGATGAATGACAATTACAATCTAGGTCATTTTGATAAATAAAAAAATCTTAAAGGATCCCTGTCCCACTGCATACAAAACGCAAGAGAATTCAACTGTGCTTTTTTCGTATATAGAGTAACCTCCTCTTAATTTTGTTTAAGATATAGAATACTTGTAGTGAAATTGGATGGTAATACTTCTGTAGACCAGGCAGCAGCTCAGTTGATTAGAGATTGAGACAGCATAACGGTTTCAGGACCAGGGTTCGAATCCTGGTCAAGCCCAGCTGAATTTTATGCTCAGACCAAGCACTGTTTATTTGTTTATTTTTTTGTTTTTGTTTATTCTATTATTGTTATTTTTTTCATAAAAGTTCCGCTAAGTTTGGTTTTCTTTTCATTAATGATTTATCAATGCAATAGCTTCACTGGAAAATTAAATTCTTTTTTTGCAGTGGTTCGGGAATCCTTTAAATGAAATTTTGACCAGAATTTGAATCAGTGTTGTTCTTTTATACAGTAATTCAATACTGGGGACTTCTTTTATACAGTTATTCAATACTGGGGACTTCTTTTATACAGTAATTCAATACTGGGTCTTCTTTTATACAGTAATTCAATACTGGGGACTTCTTTTATACAGTAATCCAATACTGGGGACTTCTTTTATACAGTAATTCAATACTGGGGACTTCTTTTATACAGTAATTCAATACTGGGGACTTCTTTTATACAGTAATTCAATACTGGGGACTTCTTTTATACAGTAATTCAATACTGGGGACTTCTTTTATACAGTAATTCAATACTGGGGACTTCTTTTATACAGTAATTCAATACTGGGGACTTCTTTTATACAGTAATTCAATACTGGGGACTTCTTTTATACAGTAATTCAATACTGGGGACTTCTTTTATACAGTAATTCAATACTGGGGACTTCTTTTATACAGTAATTCAATACTGGGGACTTCTTTTATACAGTAATTCAATACTGGGGACTTCTTTTATACAGTAATTCAATACTGGGGACTTCTTTTATACAGTAATTCAATACTGGGGACTTCTTTTATACAGTAATTCAATACTGGGGACTTCTTTTATACAGTAATTCAATACTGGGGACTTCTTTCATACAGTAATTCAATACTGGAGACCAAATAAAAGAGCTGCTATAAAATGTGTCACAGATTTGATGTTAATTAGACAAGTCCTTGCTGTAGGGGAACACATTATGATTATGTTACAAGCCTGAAATAAAAGTGTCATTTATTAAGGATTCCTGTCTCACTGCAGGCAAAACTCAAACAGATTCCACTTCAGTTGGATAGAATACCACTTGACAATCTAACATATCAGACAATGCCACTTGACAACCAAACACTTCATCCAATGCCACTTGACAACCAAACACTTCATGCAATGCAACTTGACAATCTTACACTTCATACAATGCCATTTGATAATGTAACACTTCATACAATGCCACTTGGCTATCTTACATGTCATACAATACCACTTTACAATCTTACACTTCATACAATACCACTTGATTATCTTACACTTCATACAATGCCACTTGGCTATCTTACACTTCATACAATACCACTTTACAATCTTACACTTCATACAATACCACTTGATAATCTTACACTTCATACAATGCCACTTGGCTGTCTTACACATCATATAATGACACTTGACAATCTTACACGTCATACAATACCACTTGATAATCTTACACTTCATACAATGCCACTTGGCTATCTTACACATCATACAATGACAATTGACAATCTTACACTTCATACAATACCACTTGATAATATTACACGTCATACAATGCCACTTGGCTATCTTACACGTCATACAATGACACTTGATAATCTTACACGTCATACAATGACACTTGATAATCTTACACTTCATACAATGACACTTGACAATCTTACACTTCATACAATGACACTTGATAATCTTACACGTCATACAATGACACTTGATAATCTTACACTTCATACAATGCCACTTGGCTATCTTACACGTCATACAATGACACTTGACAATCTTACACTTCATACAATGCCACTTGACAATCTTACACTTCATACAATGCCACTCGACAAACAAACCCTTCATACAATGCCATTTGACTCTCTCGCACTTCATACAATACCACTTGATAAACTTACACTTCATACATATACAATGTCACTTGACAACCTAACACTTCATCCAATGCCACTTGACAACCAAACACTTCATACAATGCAACTTGACAATCTTACACTTCATTCAATATGCCACTTGACTATCTTACACTTCATACAATGCCATTTGATAATGCAACACTTCATACAATGCCACTTGGCTATCTTACACGTCATACAATACCACTTTACAATCTTACACTTCATACAATACCACTTGATAATCTTACACTTCATACAATACCACTTTACAATCTTACACTTCATACAATGACACTTGATAATCTTACACTTCATGCAATGCCACTTGGCTATCTTACACTTCATACAATACCACTTTACAATCTTACACTTCATACAATGACACTTGATAATCTTACACTTCATACAATGCCACTTGGCTATCTTACACGTCATACAATGACACTTGATAATTTTACACTTCATACAATGCCACTTAGCTATCTTACACATCATACAATGACACTTGATAATCTTACACTTCATACAATGCCACTTGATAATCTTACACTTCATACAATGCCACTTAGCTATCTTACACGTCATACAATGACACTTGACAATCTTACACTTCATACATATACAATGCCATTTGACTATCTCGCACTTCATACAATGCCACTTGACAATCTTACACTTCATACAATGCCACTCGACAATCAAACCCTTCATACAATGCCATTTGACTCTCTCGCACTTCATAGTGTCAATACCGCTTGATAATCTTACATTTCATACATATACAATGCCATTTGACTATCTCACACTTCATACATTACCACTTGATAATCTTACACTTCATACATATACAATGCCATTTGACTATCTCACACTTCATACAATGCCACTTGACAATCTTACACTAAATACAATGCCACTCGACAATCAAACCCTTCATACAATGCCATTTGACTCTCTCGCACTTCATAGTGTCAATACCGCTTGATAATCTTACACTTCATACATATACAATGCCATTTGACTATCTCACACTTCATACAATGCCACTTGACAATCTTACACTAAATACAATGCCACTCGACAATCAAACCCTTCATACAATGCCACTTGACAATCTTACACTTCATACAATACCACTTGACAATCGAATACTTTATACAACGCCACTTGACAATCTAATACTTCATACAATACCACTGGACTATATTACACTTCATACAATACCACTTAACAACCTCACACTTCATACAATGCCACTTTACAACCTAACACTTCATACAATGCCACTTGACAATCTTATACTTCATACAATGCCACTTGACAATCTAATACTTCATACAATGCCACTTGACAACCTAACACTTCATACAATGCCACTTGACAACCTTACACTTCATACAATGCCACTTGACAATCTAACACTTCATCCAATGCCACTTGATAATCAAATACTTCATATAATGCCACTTGATAATGCAAAACTTCATACAATGCCATTTGACACTTCATATAATGCAACTTGACAATGTAACACTTGATATGATTCCACCTGACCATCTAATACTTCATAAAATGCCACTTGACAATGTAACACTTCATACAATGTCATTTGATGACAATTGTTTTCAAATTGACCTTACAGAACAACTCTTCACATAACATCTCTTGACTATGACATTTCATACAACATCACTTAATTATTAGGACACTAAATACACTTGATTATGACATTAAATACAAAAACGGTAGACACTAACACTTCATCCACTGTCATATTACTTTGACACTTCATACAAAAACCACTTGAATCTGTCACTTCATACGAAGCCACCAAACAAATGCCTGTGTGACTCATCCATGTCGGAATTCCCGCACAGTAAATCACGCACAACATGTATTGAGCTTGATTAGCCTGGCCTGAAGCACTAACTGGCAACGCTCACTGCCATATATACCGTCAGTAAAAACCAGGATTGATCACGCAGTCAGTGTCAAGTCAGAGTGGGGTAGCTGTAGGAGCGGGTCATGGTACTGGGAAAGGATGAAATAGGGTGACAGCAATGAGGTTTTTTCTTTTTTTTCTGTTATTGTTTTTTTCAGGTGCAGGTAACTTGACAAAATTGGTGTTTAGGTTCATGTTTTAAGTACAGCTCTGTCATTCATTATACATTGTATGGATTTAAGAAACATTTAACTCCCGGTATATACCAATATATACCGTAAAAGAGGAAATTTTCGTGGTGTCGAAATGTTCACATCTTTCGCGTTGAGTAAATTAGCGCGAAAAGATATCCACACACAGATTTTATTTATAGATAAATAGATATATACAGATTTCAGAACTATTGCTTATGCGAAAATTTCCATATTGCGATCAGTTATAAGGGTCACAACGTGAACATTTCACTTTCACTTTTGCAGCAAGTTCTTTTTCCTGGAAACTTGTAGACATATGATATATTGTATTAATTGTCCTTTTATTAATTTTTCAAGTCTTATTATCACTGTCCACTTCTGGTTTTCTTTAATCAGATTTCGTTTTGAGTTGTTAAATTTGTCAGGTTTCATTTACACATGATTAACTTTTGGTTTTTCTCATCAGAGTTTATTTTCATGGTTTTTTTAAGGTTTTACGTCCATGAAACAGCTATTAAAAGGCATAGCTGTCACACACACACATACACACACACACACACCCTCCCTCACCCCCTTCATTTGGAGGGAGACTCCTTCCTTTTGACCAAACTTTACCAATCTTCCTCGAAATTCCCTCGTTCAACTCCAAACTCACACACACTTAAAATCTACATCCTGTGGCCAAATGATCTCCTAGTTACTGCAGGGTGTGTGTAATGATCATAAAAGGTGTGTCTGAATCAAATGAATGGTATTTTTTTTAAGTTATTATGATACATATAAAGGGAAAGATAAATTGACACTTTCTCCCTCACTGGAAATGTGAGATGTGGAGTGTCGGGGAGATCGCCCTTATTGGAGATTTTAGAGGTTGACCTTATGATAAAGTCCTATGAAGATGCAGTGATTTTTGTCTTGCCGCGACGAAGTAGCGGAAGCAAGACTAAGGTGTTGCTTTTCCGGCTATGGCGGGGTGTCAACATTAAGTTTTTGCGTTTAATTTAATTTCACTGAATGTATAAGTGCTAAACCAACCAAACAAGGTACAGGTGTAACCTATTGTTTGACAGTCAGCCAGGTGTAAAAGAAGGTCCCCAGGGCATTTATCATGAATCAATACCACCATTTACCTGTATTTTTTGGTGAAAGTGGCCAAAATAAAGTGATATTAAGAGAAATCGACATAAAATCAGGTGATAATAAAAGAATTGAATTGCATAGATTATATAGCAGGAAAAACGGTGCATCAAAAAAACATGATAATAACCGAAAAGTGACATTAACAGACGTGATATTAAGTGAAATGTACTGTACTACATCTCAGCCCATGCATCAAATGCTATGTGCAGCCTACCTTTCATGGTCCACTTGACTTTATCAGTATCTCCATCAACAGTAAGTTGTTTCGTTTAAGTTAGTTTCTCTACCGGTAATATGTGCATTGATGGTCAAAGCGAGACATATCAATCCAAATGGCTTGGTTTATGGTGAATTTGAAGCAATTTTAAGGCCCCTCCCCTTGACAATTTTGCTGTGTTTTTTCCAAATTAATTATCTGTACAAACATCCAAAACTAACCTGGTTTTCTATTTGTGTCCGCATGGCACGTAGTAAAAATTTGGACACAAAATGACAGAGTCCTGCCGATCCTCCGTGGAACTTGGCTTTAATTTTGCCGATTTTACACTCTATACGCCCCTGTCGTATAAAGGCCACGATGACATCTTGGTCAATGTCCCCGGGATTTATGGCTGCCTGCTGCTGCTGCTGGGACACAGAATTATTTCCTGACAAGAAAATTTTACATGAAATTTAAATACTGCCCTGCAAAAGTCAGAATTATAAGTCATTTTGGATAAATCAACAAAAATTCAGACAATTTCAAATTAATCATGATTCTTCAAAAGTTTTCATAGTCTTTATAAGCTTAAATTTGTTTCTTCATTCTCAGCAAAATTACCTCTAACACAGAGGCTAGAGCATGACAGTAAGAATTAGTTCACAAAAAATAAAACTGACTTTTCTTATTATAGGTCATGTCTGAATTTACATTAAGGTTCCCTTTCTATATTTCCCTTTTTTTTTTTTTTCTTTCGATCATTCAAGTTTTCAAATCTGTAAAGTGCAATGCAGCATACGATTTTTATAGAATAAAAGGACTTTCAAACTGTATTTCACAATATGTAGTAACAATGGTACTTTACCTTAACTAAACATGGCCTTAGCGCTAGTTAAAAAAACATCACATATTGACATATTGATACTGGGCCTGGGTTGAATGAATCCCTATACTTATAATATGTTTTTTCATCTTTGTAAGTACTTACGAACTGGATTTTGTCTGAAAATAATAGACAGCTCCGTCATGTGAACTTCAAAGTCACCTTCTGCAAAGTGGGTCATACTGCAAGCATAACATAAGAAGACATTTTTTTTATAAAGCGGGTTACCCTGGCTGCTAAATTTTATAATGGAAGACTTCAAGACCGTATGAAGAGTGTGGGTGATGATAAACTAGCACAGTACAGTACTCAATATTGATAATTAATGAAGGCAATACGTTAAGATAAATAGCTAAGTATCTACCAGGAGGAGCTTGTTTATTTTGTTTGTTTATTTGTTTGTGGTTCAACATCCTTGCAACACAGCTAAGCTCATGTGAAGACAGGTGCCTATACCGCCTTTGCGTATTGCAGAGTTATCTTCTCTTGTGAGCAGGTATTGATTGTTACGTCATTGGTTTGTGTGAGAAAATTAGGTTGTTTTCTCAAAAATTGATGACATTACTCTCAGAAACAAATGACGTAACACTCAATACCTGTTCACAAGAGCAGATAACTCTGCAATACGAAAAGACGGAATAAAGACACCACCAGATAGAAAGAGTAAGTTGCCTCTTACAACTTACATGCAGTGGGCCATTACAGGTCGATATTCTTTCCCAGAATGTGCACAGGGTGAGTTTGTTTATACATGTGTATTTCCTTTTTGCCTGTCATTAAGTTTACTTATATGTATGAAAAGTCAGGGTCGTAACAGGCTCATCACAGGATGGACAGACATATTCTTTGAAACTTTCATCTTTTAGGACTAGCTGTTTTCTTTAATGACCAAAAAACATTTAGTAATGTGCAGCTTATTTCCACTGTTAAATTTGGGTCAAAAGACATTTTCATTTTCCCAATAAATTATGGCAATCGTTTAAAAAATATTTTGATATAAATAATTTATTAAAAATTAATGTAATTGAAAACAATTTGTGCGACTACTTTAGGCAACAAGTGAAAGAAATCCATTAATTTTACAGATCTTCAAGACAAATACAACATTTTTGAAATGAAATTGTTGAACTGTTATTTTGTTGCATTAATAATTGATCTAAACTATTGAGTCATCAAGATTAAAGTTATTCAATAAAACTGGAGTGTGTATTGCTGTCTGCCGCCTTTGATGAAGTTCTAACGCCATGATCGAGGTAATGTGCGCACCATAAATGGTTTCCGAGCCGATGAACCTTAACATATATACTAGAGTGATCCACTCAGATGTAACCTTTATAAACATTATATATCCACTTATTTCATCAGTCTCTATACAGGCATAAAGTACAAACAGTAATACGTTTAAGTTACTACAAGCAAAGGCTTTCAGCGTTAGGAAATATACAACATACATTTCTATAAATCCTGTAACAGCCTGCGAGGTTACAACGCTTGTTAAAATATTGAATATGTTGCTATATAACGTCCATACGGTGACGGAGTAACGTAACGTCACAGACGCGCAGCAGTCAACTTGAACAGCCTCAATGGAGTGGTAATCTTTATTTAATGGAAGCCAATACACTTACAAGGAATTATATTGGAAGACATATTTGCCTATGATAGTCAGCGCCCCTCTCTGCGTGAACAGCGCCTCGGGGTAGAGGGATGCTCGTGGCAGCTTAGCACTGGTCAGACGCATTCTGTAAGAAACAGAAATCCAATTAGGTTTACATTAGACTTGATGGTGCTTCGACCTGGACAGTGATGTTACTCCTGAGTGCTAAAATAAAGCGATAAAATCAGTTTGGTGGTACATGTTTCCGCTTGTCAACGAAATAATCTATTTATTTGGAGAAGGCATTTTTAGGTCACCTGAGCTTTAGCTCAAGTGACCTATTGCTATCCGTTTTCGTCCGTCGTCGTCCGTCGTCCGTCGTCCGTCGTCCGTCGTCCGTTAACATTTTACATTTCAAACTTAAAGTCAAGTTCTGCTGGGCCGATTGAACTGAAAGTTGGTAGGAATGATCGCCTCATGGTCCTGACAAAGTGTTGTTATTTTTCGGGTCGATCAGAAATCCAATATGGCCGCCACGGCCGCCATTTTGAAAACCTATTTCAAACTTAAAGTCAAGTTCTGCTGGACCGATTGAACTTAAAGTTTGTAGGAATGATCGACTCATGGTCCTGACAAAGTGTTGTTATTTTTCAGGTCAATCATAAATCCAATATGGCCGCCACGGCCACCATTTTGAAAACATATTTCAAACTTAAAGTCAAGTTCTGCTAGGCCGATTGAACTGAAACTTTGTAGGAATGATTGACTCATGGTCCTGACAAAGTGTTGTTATTTTTCGGGTCGATCAGAAATCCAATATGGCCACCACGGCTGCCATTTTGGTAAACTATTTCAAACTTAAAGTAAAGATCTACTTGGCCGATTGAACTGAAACTTTGTAGGAATGATCGAATCATGGTCCTGACAAAGTGTTGTTATTTTTCGGGTCAATCAGAAATACAATTTGGCTGCCATGGCCGCTATTTTGCTACTAAGTTCTAATAGGCCGATCTCACTTAAAATTGGTCTAGGAATGATCAGCTCATGGTCCTGACAAAGTTAAGTTAACATTATACTATTTTTTACTCAAATTGGTACATATTTCAGCAACAAAAATAAATACTATAGACTCAGGTGACCGTTAAGGCCCATGGGCCTCTTGTTGTTGCTTTGACCTGATAACAGTACATTGTAATTAATTTTGAATAACAGTCGAGTAATAAAAGAACAGATTACTAACAGGCTCATTATATACTTGACTATACATTTACTTATTCCCAATTAGAGCAAATGGTTATAACATAACGAGACGCATCCTTTTACACCAGTTTTTCTGATACAAACCAAAAGGTTACATTTAATTGTTGGTGATGGGAGGTTGACTAAAATCCATAGTACAGAAATAATGTCCTTCAACAAGACTCTTAAGCTTTACTGAGAGGTACTTAGATTGTTTATACAAACCAAAAGGTAACATTGCTGGGGGGGGGGGGGGGGGGGGGGTGTTAATTTCCATAGTATGGTAACAATGTTTGCCATGTCCTTCAACAATGCTCTTAATGTTTATTGTTCCAGACTACTCAGCTGTACAATGAAGAGCTAAAATAAATGGGAAGTAATTGTATGAAAGTATGGCACTATTCATCACCTTAAGGACACTGATATACTCTCCCTTTCTTTACAACATTTTCAGCTAGGTTCTGAAATCACCTGTTTCTTTGTAGACCATCTGTTTCTAAACTGTTAACTCTATATTTCTAAACTGTCCACAATATACATCAGAAATATGTGTCTCATATGTGCTGAAATTCAGATAACCATAAATGTCCTCAGTTAGGTTAACTGGGAACAAACTCAGATATCTGAAATGATGTCAAACGTCAATAAAACATGAACTTAATTATTCGTAAAACAGATTATTTGGCACCGACATTAAATCAAACCTCAAAACAACTTTTGAGATATATATATGCCCACATACAGTATTCAAGCCCCCATTAAAGGTCAGCGTCCTGATTTTCTATCGTAAATACTGATCAGAGAGACCTGAATGATGAGGGATGAGGGAATGGTAAGTCTAATTAAAAATATGATCAGCTTTGTTAAGGTGCTTCTTCTCCTTGGTGATCCCACATTTAGATGATGATAAATGGATCAGTTCATTCTAAAGGTTTGTTAGCTTTAACCTTTTCACCCCTATGCAACTTTAGTGGACTCGCCCATGCATTGGTCTGGATGAGTCCATTATGGTCTACAGTGGTGAAAGGGTTAAATAATGCAAAAAAAGAAAAGAAATTAAGTGTTGTTCAGGTATCACAACCTACTCTAGATTTTCCTGTCGACCCTTGAACATTTTATCATCTACTTGAATACAAGATTAATTTATCAGCCTGGCAACGTTCACAGTTCCTCAGTTAAATGTATTTTCTTTCTGTTTTGGAGCACGACACCATTTTTGACAACTTAATTGTAATGTGTAGAAATTCATTGTAAAATTTGATATATAAAGCATAATATTGATCCACCATGAAAATAAAAAATAAAATTATTTGCATATTCATATACCAACCTACTCTATCTTTTTCAGGCATGTAATTTACCTGAAACACACACATTTTTTGTTTTGGCCTCATAGTTAAATAATAACTTATAAACTTTCTCACTCTTTACAACAATATTTATGTTTCTGGAGTTCACATGAAAACTTTTAATTCATAAACATGTAATACATTTCAATTTTGGATGATCACTGTCCAACCATAGGCAAAACAGATAATTCTACTGTAGTTTTCATATACAGAGTAATCTCCCTTTAAACTTGTCTTGGATATGACTGTAACACGACTGGGCCAGTGAAGTACCTTTGATCAGGTAACTGGCAACTTGTTCATCCTTAAATGACCTTAGCTAAAACACTAAACAACCAACCCTGGATTGGAGCCAGTTACTGAAGTCTTGATCTGGCCTCATTGCAATTTTTTACCATCAGACAACTGTTGTATATTTTTTCTTAATAGTTCCAGAAGGTATGGTTTTCTATTCAGATACAATTTATCAAACATATATAGTCATGAGGGAAAATACAAAATTAACCAACAATTTAGAATTCGTACCCGAACTAGCAAGTAAGTCTTTACTATAAATCGTACCACTTTGACATGAACCATACTGGAAACGCCATGTATAACAAACTCTGTTTTACTCATGAACTCTAAAAATAACAAAATGCGATACGATCGCAATCGCTGCCGCTAATTAAACTAAAATTGAACCAAAAGACAAAATATGTTGTGTTCAACTGTCAAGCGCACCTGAATGACAAAAAAAGCGCAGGGACACCAACCCGTGTCTTTTATAGGCTGACCTTGGGTACAGGAGTCAGGCACACGCACAGTGTGTTTTGACCTTTTAAGGTCAGTTTCGTGCACCTTGCAGAGTGACAAGTGCTATGTAACTGGACACTGGAGGGACTGAATGGAAGAAAATACAATTTCAATGGATAAATACATTATTTTTTTTTGGCAATGGTTCTTGGAAGTTTTGTTAACTCATTCACCCCTGAAATTTCATAATGAACTATTCCAACCTTGGAATTGGAAGAGTTCAAATGTGTCTTTAAGGGTGAATGAGTTAAGCCAACCATGCTTTTCAAAAGAAAAACATGATAAATACCACGCGAGGAATCAGATATCGCTTACCGGACATACAGGTCTTCATGCACTACCAGAAATATATCTCTAATCTAATAATAGCCAGAGATCATTAGATTATCTTGTCCAACCAAGTGATATAAATGACCTAATGACCACCCCTACCCTCATAGATGAGCTACCATCACTAACCTAATAACGACAAAGCTGATTGATGAAGAATCTGGACCTTTCTACATACATGTACTGTATATCTCTTGATAAAAGGATAAGGGTCAAATTCCAGCAGTTAATAATACCATGTCTGATTGATTTTTAGCTAAGGTGGAGCTGCAAGCTATTGTCACTAATTCAGATATTAAACGAGCTTTTCATATGCAAATTTATTCATAACCAAACATTTAATAGCTTGGCCATCTTCCTGAAAGAATTTATGAAAATAGAATGAAAACACTAAACAATTTGTCAATAAAATGTATTACCATATTGGTCTAAAGTTCGGCCCCGGCTGCAATTACACACAGCATCAAAAAAATATCTTACAATGCATTAAGTATCGATAAATTTGTTATTGACTTTCGTTTTTTGAATGCTTACAAATATAATCAGTTATGTTGTTAGCACTTCTCACAATTGCTTCAAATGAAAAAAAATTAATATTAACTTTAACACTTGAATATAATTCTAATTTCAAATTGTTGTATTCTCTTAAAATCTCTTAAAAAATTAGAACAATCAGACTTCTATTGACATTTTCAATTACAAATCAGAATTTTCATTTATCTAATTTGCGAACTGAACTATGTATGACAGCCTCAGTTTTAAGAGTAATTTAGTGTCAGCAAGCATAAAACACGTCTGCAATGCCTTGTTGGCCCATACAAGCATTTTATCTTATTTTATTGAGATCCTGGCGGGAAATAAAATTGCAAAAGAGAAAACATTTTACTGTGTCCTTTAGTCGCCAGCGAAATAGAAACAAAGTCTTGCCACCATAACCATGTGTGGTGGAGTCCGATACAAACAATCCTATTATCTTGTTAGAAATCAACGAAAGACCTTGGGACAAGATAATACGACTGAATTGCTCCCATTACGGTCTTTACGAAGGAAAAAAGATTTCCGTTGGGTACATGGAATAGAAAATAAAAACAGTTCCACCAGTAATTAAAACAGTCTGGAAGCCAGTTTCTATTAGCTTCAGACAAATGAGACTTTTCGGTAATGGTCGATAGAGAAATTCTATAGTTTTCTTACATTTATAACTCTTTTGCATTAACCAAAGAATAAAGCTATATATGTTTTAATTAACATTTTTGTCCACCTTCACTTATATAATTTCATAGTGTGGTTCGTATTTTTTAAACGGAATGGCACATATGTTTTCAGCATTAGCAAAAGATCCATCTGAAATACTTAAATGGTCAAACAAGAGGTTTGCAGAGTGTCGGGCAACTTAAGAATCTTTGCCCAAGGGGGGTGAATGATTCTTTTTATTGTTAACCTGAAGTTTAGAGATTGCTGACCTGACGTACGTCATTGTATTGCTGACCTGACGTACGTCATTGTATTGCTGACCTGACGTCATTCAATTGTTTTGACAGGGGAATCGCCCCGTCTCAACCCTAGGCAAGTTAGACAAGGTTGTCTCACATTGAGAAAAGTGTGGCTAACCGGCACAGTCCAGGGTAGAGAAAGTGAAATCTATTCAGTAACCTTGTGGGACAGAACATATTGGGTAGATTATTTAAGTTCACACTTGGAACTGTCTGTTGTTGGCTCATATTTGTTGTTTTGATCATACATGGGAAATAAAAAAGAAAGTCAGCATATTCATGGGTCAGATTAGACAGGAGGTCAGAAAACACAGGTCTTTAAATTCTTTCATAGTTTTCAGGAGAAATGGAATAACAGCATTTTGATTGAATAGACAAGAGTTCAGTATACTCAGTGGTCAGACTTGACAGGTTTCACTACATATTGAAAGAACAAAAGGGAAAATTGAATATCGCTTAAAAACGTTGCCACCTTTCAACCTGGACATCAAACAACCCCATCTTGTAAGAGTTTGTCAAACGTCCATTGAAACAAATGTCAACCCTCAGCCTTATAGATCTGTTTCAAGCCGAACATTCCTTTTTAAGCACAGAGAGAAAAATGGTGCTATCATGCACTGGAGAGTGGGCAGCCTGACTGCACGGAAACACATAATTTTTCTTTCTCCTGGAAAGGTCAGAACCCTGCTGGAGTATTATTCCAGTTTCCTTTCACCAATTACCGGAGTGGGGCTACCCCCATTTATTAAATCTAGCAAATTACGCTCTCATAATTAACTCAGTGCTTTTTCTACATTTGCATCGATGTTCTCCTGCCACGGAAAGTCATCAATACCGATTCACTGCCGACATGGGCGATATGTTTTTTGCATGAGTTTTACAATCTGTCACGTGGGAATCAATATATTCTAAGTCAGGTTTAACTGTTCATACCATTAGTGCCTATTAGCGAGGTAGGATGTCGCTGAATTAGAAAAACAAACAACACCAAGAGAACTGAGCTTAGAACACTTTTATGATAACATTCATATTGAAGCAGTAACTGTTTTTAAAAAAAAAATGCATTCCATTGATTTAATTAACACCTCAGCAACATTTCAACAAGAGTCAAACAGTTCTGGTTTCGTGATACAACATGGTTCTTATTCAATAAAAAATATATCTAAATGGCCTGAACATAACTGTTAGTCACATGGTCAAGGGATGTCTAGCTGACCTTAAAATTGCAAAGGTCATGGCCTATAATTACAGGAGTAGGAGTAGGTCTAAATGACCTTTGAATCGTGAAGGTCATGATTTGTTATCGGAGGTCAAGATGACCTTTACATACTTAAAGTCACGATAAGAAAACGTTATGGGAGGCCTAGATGACTTTTAAATTCTTCAGGTCAAAACATGTCGGAGAAAATTTACATGAAATTTGAATTATGACTTAAAGGTCATTATTACTTGTCAGTGGATGTCAGATCTTTTAATTATTAAAGAAAGCCAAGAAATGTAAGAGGAGATATCAGATTCCAGGAGAGGTCTAAATAACCTTTACATTATAAAGGCCGCAACTTATATTTAAGGAAGGCCAAGATGAGAAATAAGACTATTTTTGATTATATAAGACAGAACATGTTAGCAACAGTCCAGATGACCTTTCAATTATGAAGGTCATGACTTGTAAGGGCTATTCTGAAGATAAAGGGAAGGTTTAGGTGACCTTTGATTATGGAGGTGCAGCCGTGATTGGTAAGAGGTTAACACAAGGTTAAGTCTAATGACCTCTGATTATTAATCCCAGAACTTGCAGATAAGACATTATCTTGAGATTTTATTGTAGCATAGGCCGAGTGCTGTTCAAAACATGTTTGATTTTATTGTAGCATAGGCCGAGTGCTGTTCAAAACATGTTTGATCCCAAACACAGTTTAAATATACCTGGTACTTCAATACCATCTAAAATTAATCTTTTCAACGAAATTGCTTTGATTTAAGATATTTTCAGGAATATACATTTGATAATTCCATATATATATGTTTATATGGCTATAAAAAAAGTTCAAAGTTCAAGCAGTCTCGAGACGCATGATGAAATCAGAATCCTTAATGTACTTGTACGAGCCTGAACGATGACCCCCTGCAGCTCTTAAAATGTAGTCCTATAATGCATTGGTCTCCAACTGTACATGTAAAGTATTAATTCCGTGAATGACCATGTGTCATGTATGATGGATTGAGGAACTGGCACCATTCCTCGGCTGCATGGAACGCATTGATTAAGCCACAGCGTGTGACAGGAATAAACATTCTCAGATCTTCACCTCTCAGGCCATGGCGAGTGTGAAAATATGGAATGGCCAGACAGAGTCAGGCCACATATTGAACAATAGGAAGGCCATTGACAAACCAATGTCCATTGTCAGCAAGGGAACAATCCAAAGTATGTGCGATATAGAACATAAACCAAAATATGGACATTAAATGGAACATTAACCCCAATATGGACAATATTGAACACTAGGAAGGCCATAGATAAACCAATGTCCATTGTCAGCAGGGGAATAAATCGAAGTATGTGCGATATGGAACATAAACCAAAATATGGACATTAAATGGGACATTAACCCCAATATGGACAATATGGAATGTTAGGAATGACATAGATAAACCAATGTACAATGTCAGCAAGGGGATAAACCCAAGTTATGGACGATGTGGAACATTAAGAAGACCATCATAAGATTAACCAATGCACAATGTCAGCAACGAAATATACCTAAGTATGGACGGGACGTTTGGAGAATTGTTGCAGCTATTAGGGATATTCATTAGCAGCAATAGAAGACAAATAGAAGTGTCAGAAAGAATATATCACAACTGAAACACTGACTGGTCAGCATGAGGGTCCTGCTGTGTGCCTGACCATATACCCAACAGTCTTTTTAATTAGTAACTTTGACCTTGACCTTGACCTTGACCTTAGAAACGTTTTAAAGCCCTGTTGCCCGTCTAAATATCAGTGTATCATTATGTCAGATTTCAGATAGGTACTTTGATGATTCCCGGAAACAAAAGTGTAAACAGACGGACAGACAGACAGGCATAGTAATTACTATATAGGCCCTAACTATAGAGAAAAGACATTTTAAAGTGAACCAAAAACATTGAAACCATGAAAGAGTCTAGAAAATATATAAGTACAAGGTCTTTATGGACCATAATAGGAATGGCAATGAGATCTAAAGAGGAAACACCAATGTTTCGGTACTCAGTCTTTTAAGTACGTATATGGTTGGGTATTTGTATAAGATATTTTGGTACTTTCCAAAAGATACTTTTTAAAAAATTTCGGCACTTGAACCCACATTTGAACCTGGCTCTTTTTTTTTTTTTTTTTTTTTTTTTTTTTTTTTTTGTGTTCTGTGTATTGGTTGTTCATTGGCGGAGTGGATCAAGGAATTTATTTTTGGGTGGAAACTCACAATACCAGTGTTGATGACCAATTCAAATGGAGGTGTAAATATTAATAAGCAAAGTGGGGTGGGTGCAGGATTGGGTAACAATCTCCTAGGAGGGTGTTTGGGGATACCCCAACAGCAAACTGTAAAATCCTCAGAAGAATATAAGCTTGCAATTCTACAGAGACTAGCATGAGAAAGCAAAACAGTATTCCTGAAGTATACATCTCGAGGGATGTTATTGCCGTGTGCATGTACTGACCCAGCATGTTAGCCCTACAAAGAGAACTAGACTCTCTCCATGTATAATGTAGTCCAGACAGCAACAACGAAGCTCCACCACAAATACTTGTTACATCTCTTATAATAAATGTATGTCTAACTTAACAACTTGTACATGTGTTCCTTACATGGATTTGCCTTTCATGTCTGTTGTTATTTTACATTAATGAATTCATGAACAACATCAAAGTAACTACCGTTTGTATGTTTCTTCAAAGGAAAGGTACCTTCAAACACAACATTTTGTCTGAAACTAGAAAAAATTGTAAAATATGGTAAGCCTCCCACTTTGATTACAAATACAATATCACTTTTTCGGGTTTTCGTTTATAAGAACTCAATTCAGGTAACTGTGAGATAACCTTGCAATAATATTTGCCAGTACCCAATTTATACAGTTGGGCAGACTAGTACTGTAACATTATGAAGGTAGAAAATATATCATTGAATGATAAAACAAAGAACAGGATATAATTTCCAGGTACTTCCTAGAAAAATTGCTGGTACCCATTTTCACAACTGGACAGACTGGAACAAGAGAAACTTGAACTATGCCTTGTATGCATACCATGTTTTTCTGCAAATAAGCCCATGCCTGGTAATAAACCCATGTCTGATAATAAGCCCATGCCTGGTAGGCATAATCCCATGCCTGGTAATAATCCTATGTCTGGTAATAATCCCATGTCTGGTCATAATCCCATGCCTGGTAATAATCCCATGTCTGGTAATAATCCCATGCCTGGTAATAAGCCCACCCATAGCTATTAAACTGATAACAAACATGATTTCATCATCCTGTTATAAGCTCACCTCCCTAACTTTGAGTCAGAGATTATGTACTGGCCCCTGGGCTTATTGAGGATAATAACAGACAGGCATACAACTGTGGTACACACTAGTGTATCAATTTGTATGTGATATATCATAATCCTAATCTTATCAGTAGTACAGTTCATCTTTCTATCTATATGATGCAACATTAATCATAGGTATATTGCTCACTTTTAATCAAGAATATCAGCAAATTTGCTTGCGTGATACTTAAAAGTTTTTCTAGATTGATTGAATTTTGTGTGTGGAGACCTTACCCTGTGAGTCTGTAGTTGAAGTTGCCATAGGCCCCTTCTTGGTCTGGAATGTTCTGCTGAAGCAAACGCTCCACCAGCTGTTTCAAGTGATACCCAATACCTTCGTATTCTGAAAGGAAATAAAAAAATCGTAATTTCATACATTATCTGTATACCAATAATTGATTGGTATCAAACAAACTTTCAATAATCAACAGAAATGACTCCACCAGCTGTTCAAAGCATCCTGTATACCGTAAAATTTTCACTACAGTTTAACTCATTCACCCCTACAATTTTAAATTGGACTTGCCCAGTGATTGATTTGGTAAGGTTCAAATGTGATTAAAGGGGTGATTGGGTTAAATAAAGCCCTCCGCAATTGACTGGGCAAAAGTTTCCTGGTATACAGTATTCTGAATGAGTTGAATATCTCCTAAAAATGAGACGTATGTGACAATCTGAACGAACAACTATGATTTAAAATATGCACATGTTCAAACCTTCAATTCAGAATTCAGAAGTTTAAGATTACCGGTAGTGCAATTAAAATTGCAAAAAAGATCTACAAATTTTGAAACTGTATAGGCAATTTAAACTTTAATAATAATGTTTATTTCAGGAAATAGATCATAGACATCACATGTGACATGACAGTTGACATACATATTACAGTACAACATACATATATATTTACTACAAATATTAAACAGAATATCACAGGTTTTTGGAGCAGTCCTAGGAGCAGGTGATTGGGCATCCCCTTCCTACAAGCTCTCCGGACGCTCAAATACTAATGAACCTACATGAATTTAATTAATTGCCTGACATACCAAATTTTGCACACCTGTGCATAATTTTAAATTCATTTTCCACATCTTTGGAAGTATTGAAAATTGTATAAAATTCTGATTCTGAAGATGAACAAATTAATACAATTTTTCCTCACTACCTGTCACACCATCAGGTTTAATTTATATGCTTAATTTTGACCATTGGTTGGGTACATTTTAGACATCTTATTTGACACTACCTGCATAATCGTAACAATTAGAAATCGTATTTGAACTATCTGCATAATTGTACTAAATCTTCGTAATGAAATTTCTAAACTTTTACATCAGAATGGTGAAATATGGATTGTAGAAAGATTTCTATAGCACGACCATTTAAACATTTACGTGTGACATTTCGATGACTATAGTACAATACTAATCATCTAAATGTCACGCATAAAGACTTAACTGGTTGTGCTATATAAACCTTTCTGAAATGTTAACGATTATAGTTTTAACCTACCGGTTGTCATGTTCTTCTATAGGAGTTCCCATACACAGACCATAACGCCAACAGCAGTGGGGCACTGTATTGAGGGGTCTGAACTCCCTAAACCTGATCTATCGTCATCTCAACCTGTACCACCTGCAAGAAAACAACATCAATAATACAATCAAGGTAAAGTGTAACCACTGCACCAGTTATTATCACGAAGAAGAGTTCCACTCAAGAATTGTTTTACAGATTGGAGTGTGTATTTTCCCTTCTGCATAAAAGCTGAAGTACCTAATAAACACTGTAAGTTTCATTTTGGCAGAGAGTTACTTCCCTTGTCAAGGTGTTCATCTCTCATTTTCATCATGTGCATTTAAAATTCCTGGATAGCATCATTGATCAGTGGAAGAGAAACACAATTGATTAAGATTGGCACCCCTGTAAATTTAGAGGGTTTTTTTTCTTTCTTTTTTTTCCACAATTTTGAACAATATTTACTGTTATTCCATAAAATGCATTGCAAAATGAAATTTATTTGAAATACTATGTACTTAATTAAGAATATTTTCTTGCAGTAATAACTGTATTAAATATTATGATTTAATGGTACCTTTTATTTTAAAAGTTTTTTTCTCAAAATTCAGTTACTCAGAGTAGAGCTACTGGAAGGATTTAGGAGCCAAGATATAGGGCCCTACAAACACTCATCTATGTTGTAGATATTTAAAGCCACGGTCATTGACTGTAGTACTCCCTCGGTCATATTTTAGTTACAGTGACCTTGACATTGACTTTGGAAACTTTTTAAACCCCTTTTGTAAATTTGCAAATCATAGTGTATCACCATAACATTCAAAAAGGTTAGTCCTTTGGTTTTCAAGATAAGGACCCACAAGGACAATTCCCCCATGGTCTATTTAAAGTAACAGTAACCTTGACCTTATTTTTTTTTTAAAACCCCTATTGCACATCTTCATAACATAGTGTATCACCATGTCAAATTTCAAAAAGATTTTATTTTTTTTGGATTCTGAGATAATCTCTGGATAGATAGTGTAGATAGACAAACAGACAGACTAATGTTGTGATTACTACATCCATAGGACACCTGCATCTCCAATGCAGAGGCCAAATTATTCAATTCATTCATTGTATCATTCGAGAAGATTGGGGTCTGCATGACTTAATTATAAATGCCCTTCAATAGATCCAGGCACAAACATACAAATGTACATCCAATTGGAGTCATGTACTTTCTCATTCTCTTTCATTCCAATACTTTGTTTTTGATAATTGAATACCTAAAAGAAGCAGGCTTTCCAAAAATACATATTCACTTTTAACTGTCAAAATTTCTTAATTACAAAAATAACTTCATTTACTGCTAATCAAAGCTGAACATTTTCTTTTTTTCTTTCCAGAAATAAAATAGTTTGTTCTAAATTTAGCCGTTAATTCATTAAGTTAAGTGCATGTGAAACTGGCAGATTCTGTCTTCATTATACCCAAGGTTGCCTAGTAATGGATTGTCAGGATTCTCAAGCCCAGAAATGATGGTTGTAAAGCGCAGACTGAATGTTTCTACAGTCTGTTGACTAGCAATGGAGGCACTCAGAGACCATAGATTCTAACAGTAATACAAACAAGAGGCCCATGGGCCTTAACGGTCACCTGAGTCTACAGTATTTTTTTTTTGTTGAAATATGTACCAATTTGAGTAAAAAATAGTATAATGTTAACTTAACTTTGTCAGGACCATGAGCTGATCATTCCTAGACCAATTTTAAGTGAGATCGGCCTATTAGAATTTAGTAGCAAAATAGCGGCCATGGCAGCCAAATTGTATTTCTGATTGACCCGAAAAATAACAACACTTTGTCAGGACCATGAGGCGATCATTCCTACCAACTTTCAGTTCAATCGGTCCAGCAGAACTTGACTTTAAGTTTGAAATAGGTTTTCAAAATGGCGGCCGTGGCGGCCATATTGGATTTCTGATCGACCCGAAAAATAACAACACTTTGTCAGGACCATGAGGCGATCATTCCTACCAACTTTCAGTTCAATCGGTCCAGCAGAACTTGACTTTAAGTTTGAAATAGGTTTTCAAAATGGCGGCCGTGGCGGCCATATTGGATTTCTGATCGACCCGAAAAATAACAACACTTTGTCAGGACCATGAGGCGATCATTCCTACCAACTTTCAGTTCAATCGGCCCAGCAGAACTTGACTTTAAGTTTGAAATGTAAAATGTTAACGGGCGACGGACGACGGACGACGGACGACGACGGACGAAAACGGATAGCAATAGGTCACTTGAGCTAAAGCTCAGGTGACCTAAAAATGTACTCCCCAGGCTGTCCCGTGGCATACGTGACCCAGGAATCGTACTAATGTCATTTTAACGAAAGAACAATACATGAATGAACTATTAGACACTTTCATGCCCTGGAATAGTGAAATTAAACACAAATCGAGTAAAAAACACAAGGTTTTGCCGAGGGTTTTGCACAAATATGAAAATCAAAAGGGTGGAGTGTCTTTCACCCTTGGGCATGATAGAGTATTTTTTCTCTTATTCTGATCACCACAATTAGCTCAGAAACAAACTAAAAAATGTCGCAATTTCCACATCCCGACGTCAAGATGTTCAGATTTCCTGACGTCGCATCATTGTTGTCCCATTGTGACGATCACACACGAGAAATTGGGTGTAATGCCTCATGGTCCCTTTTATTACCCTGGACAGTTCTGTCATATAAACCACAGAAACGAGGGAATGTGAGTACATATAATTTTGGTTTCCATTGAAAGTCTTATCCCATTGAAGACTCTTGGTTCAATATTCTGACAGTGCATTCAAACAGCTGTTATGCTGATCAACAAACAGTCAATATTTTTTCAATCTAAATTTTACAGCAACCTGTTCCTACAGGATTTTGTAATATATAGCAAAAAAAATGACTGAAATTTGCATTAAATTGCTCAGTTGTTCTTCTTTTGGTGAAAATCAAGCACTTTTTTTGCTAGATGAAGCAGCCTTTATTGGGCTGTGAAATAGGCAGACAAAAAATAATTCACATTACGCAAATACAACAGTCCCCACATAAGTGTAAAAGATGACGATTAATTGGGTTGCCTGACAAGCGTCAGCTGTAGGGATTTTCCCTTTAGCTTAGCGGTAGAGCAACGGGCTGGAGAACGAAGGGTCACAGGTTCAAGCCCTTGAGCGATAGCACTATCTGTATCACTATTCTTCGTCCTATTACAAATTGGTGCCTAGGAGAACCCTTAAGAGAAGTCAAAGAACCTGGGTTGGTGTTTGATAAAAGGGGAGAATTAGTGTAAAAGATGTGGATTAATTAGGTTGCTTTACAAGCGTCAACTGTAGGGAATTTCCCTTTAGCTTAGCGGTAGAGCATCAGGCTGGAGAGGAATATCTTTCTTAGTTCCATTTTGTTTTTATTTTCCATCAGTTCTACAACCGAGTGAGTTATTGCATGTTCCCAGTGTTCATGTCAATTTGTCACTGTGGACATTTTACGACACTGTTTATATATATATATACAGCTTAAGCCCTGTTTACGGTATACAATATCATAAACATTCACACAAATGCTTTATTCTTATTCATATCTGGTGGTCAATTTGAAGCATCTATAATGAACAGTGAGAAACAAAAGTTAAAGATGATCCATGCCCCCATCTTCTACTCTCCCCCTGGCTCTGACCTGCAGCCCTCGCTGGACACTGGTCATGCACCTACAGCACATATTTACCCCTACTTCAAAAAAGGGTACTAACTTTCTATTTCTGCGATACAATCTCCGTAGGATGGGCTAATTACAGAGCATTGAAATCGCAAACTGTTGGTAGTTCTTCATAACCACGAAAGACATGGGTGGGCTTATTACCTGACATGGGCTTAGAGCCATTAGTTCATATTTGTATTTATTTTATAATTAAGCAGACACATAGGTTTAAAACTGATTTCTACCCCCAAATACCTCTGCAATGACATCAGAAGTATTTTCATTTCACGTGCTGCTAGCTGACCGGAGACACTCCATCTTCATTATAAAAGCTTCGATCATGGGACACACTGACATTTCAAATAGACTGGAACTGTTTCCTTTCCATCCATGTATGTGTATAAGTGCCAGTCTTCATGCAGGGGTGATTCTCAAACAATAATTAATTAATTTGTACGCGATGAAGAAAAGTTCACCCAGTTCAAATTGCCCACCTGATATTGATTTCAGAGCATTAATCTTTTCTTATGAGACAACATACATTATATATTTATAAATTCACATTCATTCTCTCCTTGATATACATGCTAGTGATTAATATGGACATTTTTCAATGAAGACTTAAAAGTACATGCTACAGTGGAACCTGTATTAAGAGACCACCCCCTCGGAGAGTCCATGAAGTGGTCTATTAAGGCAGGTTCTGTTTCACTGAGCTAAGCATCCTGTTAACAGGTAAAGGTGATTAACAGATTTGTCTCCATGGATGTAATGTGCGTGTCCTAATGTGTTCTGGAGGTCAGGTGTGTATTGTTTTTGTCTTCTTGCGATAGCGCAGATCTGATGCCAACTTTAGAGTGCTGCCTCACTGAAATACCGTGCTAAAGGCTCCGAGCACAGCATTCCGCCTGTTCGCATTATTCATCAACACAATATTGTGATTACCTTAAATGCTAAACGCTTAGAAGGGCATAACAGCTACCATTTTTGAGGACTTTGGTATGTCCCTGCTGAGGACAGATCCATTACCTTCCCCACTTGGGCAAATGTTTAACATTAATGCCAAAAGAACGGTATTGCAAAGCGAAGTGCTAGGAAACAAAAAGAAGAATAAATATAATGCCTGCAAATGTTGCAAAGCATCGATGGGTCCAGATATATTTTGATTGCTTTCGTGTCCCCTTAAAGAGCGAGAGTGTCACAAAAGCAAATCCCCAATTTAGATACAGGGGTTACCACATTAGTTGCCAGTCTTGTGACATGCAGTCGGCAACAGCAGGTATCTTCTTTTCTCAGCACCTGCCCTGCGCAAGGGTGAGCTGCACATGCACTCTAAAGACAGGTAAAGTTCACAAAAAGACAACAATCGTAAACATTAGAAGTGGTCTCTTAACACA